ACCTGTACAAGATCTAGTTAAGTATATGTACAGTTTTGTAAACTAATAAAATTTGTTGTTTGTAAACGTAAATAGTTTTTTATCAATCTGTTTTATAATCCATGTACACCACAAGTGACTGGCTTCTCATATAAAACATAAGTTTCAAAACTAGGGATATAACAGAAATTTATTCTGCATGCTTGAAAGATTACTCTAGCTGTGTGACTTTGAACAATACTGGATGACATAAATATCAAAATGGTTTACAAATTATGTAAGTACACCTAGTAGGCTATACTTCATTAGTTCCAGGTTTACAGTTGTGATATCATGAGATGTTATATCGTGACTTTATTTTAGGCCTGTGTAAGGCGGTAATTAATTCTTTATGTTATTGTAATTAAGTGGGTAATGAATCACAAAACAAATAATCAAACCATTTCAGAGGTGGGGGTGCCAAAAGTGTTTTTGCCCCCAGCTGCTGAGAACCCTTGCTATGCCACTGCATCTTTCATTGTTGGAAAGAAAATTATCAATCAAAATACCTTCAAGAATACATGAGATTTGACCAACAATACTAATGTTCATAGACACACACATTAAAGGTGTGATCCAATCAAATAGTTTATTTTAACTTTTTTAATTTCTGAGAAATGTTGTAAACAATCATATTACATTTTTTAATAGGGTTTATGTCAACTGGACATCAGAATTCGTTGTTTTGCAAAAAAATCAAAAACGAACATGAATTAAGGCTCAAATTTCTCTTTATAAATCAGTATGTAAAACAGGATCTTATGTTTGGAAATGTTTCAGTAGTAAAGCAAAATATTATTTAATTGTTAATATTATATTACTGAATCAGATACCTAGCATAAATGTAATAATGTTAGTATTAAGGTATTAAGATTTCTTTCCTCTTTTTTTAATGTGAACATTTCTGTATCTGGAACTTTATGATAAAGATATGCAGAAAACATCATAAACATGTTAGAACTGAAGGTCAAATGGTCAGCCTAGATCCTCAACCACACAGGCTACAGAAAACTTGGAACACCATCAAGACTGCAACTACACAAGTTAAACCTAGAAAGGTACTATCGTAAGCTAAAATTTTCTGTATTAATTTAAATGGTTGCTAGAATGTGTATGACATTTGGATTTAGAAAATTTGTGAAGGATGAAAGTTGAGGAGCTTCATGACGTATGTAGAGACAAGAGTACTATATAAATACAAGTAATCAGTGATGAATAAGTATTCAGTAAGGGTTAAGTTAAGAAATGTTATTCAGTTTTAGCAATGAGAGTTATTGCATCTATTCTGCTATTCAATTACTTGGGTAATTATGTGTTTGTTTATTGATTGAAGCTAAGTAAGTTAGGTGCAAGCACCATTAATTTCGAAATTTCTGTTGAAATGTTGTATATGAAGCTAGTCCTACAAGTGAATGTGGCTGTAGCAAACATCATTGAAGAAATAAGTTAATTTGTTATCATTCAGTGGATTGAACTTTGTATTATTTTTAACAAGTAATCCAAAAGAACTGAGTCACTACATGTAACAGAACAGAACATGTTACAACAGTATGCACATTGATTCATTATGTTTATCACTTGGAATAGTATTGACAGCATTTAATTCTAAATCTAAGAATAATAGCAACCCCAGAAAGTGGTATAGGTAAACTACATGGCTCGTTAAACACAATGCAATTGTGTGCATACTCTGAATATTATATAGTTGGCACAAAAAAACAATGTTGGAGCAAATTGTGTTAATAAAAAAAATTGTTCAATCAGTGTAGTACATGCTGTATAATTATTATTAGGAATCTAGTAATCAGATTCAGAAGTTTCAGTAATTATATCAGGAGTATGTTTAAACTCCACTTTTATTCCACACTTGATACTTGAATCCGACTTTCATATATTTTAGGCTTTATTTTAAAACAGCATGTTATAATGAAAGCAAACTCTGCAGCACTTTTTTTATAGCAGTTTAATTTATATTCACTTTTCTTAACTGGGAATATTTTATATTGAAGTTCCTTAACAATGTAGGCATGATCAAAAATGTCATCACATTTAGATGTAGAATATGAAAGTATTTTAAATTTAGCATTTTAATGCCCTTAAAACTATAAACTATTGTGTGTAGTTATGTAGTAATGTTTTTTAACCAAGAATTATTTTAATTTTCTGTTGTGATATTAAATGAAATCCATACAGGTATTTATGTAAATGTAACATTCAGCTGGGTAAGAATCAAAAACTCATTCAAAACTGTGTTTCTGATTGGATAGATTATTTAAAAAATCAAGAATAAGTTCTATGAATGGTGCAACAGTAGTAGCTGTATGGAACTTTATGAACAATACACTTGTGATAGTTAGATATTTTTCTGTGTCTTTTACAAAATGATGTACTTTTTGTATTTGAAAAGATTCTTGAATATATGCTTTCTACTCCATATTGTTTTTTTTTAGAAAGAAATTAAAACCAGAGAGAAATTTGAACGAAGAATACTAGACGTAAGTTATAGAACTTCTTTTTTCTATCATTATATAAAATTTTCATTTCTAGGTTTTATAAAACCTTCTAGAAGGTTTACATACTACTTGAATACTTACTTTTGCATAGTATACTATTAATGATAGTGTCAATGTCTCTTTCCTTTTGTGCATCACATAGAAGTTTGATTATACTTTTGATTGTAAAATGGGAGGTAGACAAGGCTGTGAAGCAGTTGTCAAACTTGTTAACCAAAAAATGAAATAATTAATTTCATTGTTAATTGAACAAAGAACATGTACATATGATTGAAAAAGTATTAAGCTAATTATTTTAATTAGCTTATCTACACATTTGCATATACTAAGAATGTCATATAAGTATATGTTCATATAAGATAGGAATTCATATGCACACACAGAACATCTGAAATACAGAACAATAAAAAGATGATAGTAGTTCAGAAAATGGGATGCGGCAGAAAATGGTTAATACCCATGGAATTCCTTCTTGATAAATTTTGGCTGACAAGCAACTCCCAAAGTTTCCTTGGATTCCATGTATGAAAAGGCATTAAAATAGTATAATGATGATGTATGTCCTGATATTGGTGTTTAAGCTCAAGAAACACATTCATACAGTTTTCAAGTCATAAAAAAATGCACTTTTGCAACTGTAAGAAATATAGCAGAGATTTCACATACTGTAAAGAATAGCCACATTTATTATGATAGGTGTTTACAGCTCCCCCCCCCCAAAAAAACTATTTACTGCCATGTGTTCATCATTTAATATCTATTTATAAATAAATTTTGTTGTTGTTTAAGAATCATAACATAGGTAAATTAACATGTAGAATTATACATGGACTTTTCTCTACATCAAAATAGTTTTATTTGCAAGCTTTTGACCCTTTTACCTGAGCCTTACATTGTTGCCTGATGACAGTTACAGTAAGAGGGCCGAAAGCTTGCAAATAAAAGTATTTTAATCGAGAAAGAAGTCTGTGTATAATTCTGCATATTAAATTTTTGTCTAATGTTCTGAAGTTAGAAAAAGAATATACATTATGACCATGAAAACTGCTTATTGTACACAGTTTATATGTAGCTTAGGTCCAGGTATAGCCTAGTAATTAGCATGCCCAGATGGTGAATCAAAAAATTTGCTGCTAAAATGTTGTTTGCACTTTGAGGCCATGGGTATGCTACAAGATTCAGAGTCAAATCTCGCTGTTTGTTCAGACAAGAGTAAATGCTGTGGGTGCTGTTGATTAACTGCCTTCCCTCTGGACTATCAGTTAAAAATCAGTGACAGCTATAAACAGACAGCTCTTGTGCAACATTCTCAAACAGACAGACAAACAAATATGTAGATTATTTTAACTGTAAACATCAAATAAGCAATAACTCTAGAGGACTTTTAGAATAACATGCCTAATAATTTTCAGTTATTAAGTTTTTTTTTAGTTGCTCACTATGTTACAGCAAATTCTGAATTTACATAGTGTATTTTCGTGAAATATGATAAATTTTTAATAAACATTATAAGTACGTTGTACACAAAAAATCAGAATTTGTAATAGAGTGTTTCTACTAAAGATTTGTCTTTGAATTTACTTTAGTTAGTCTGATTCCAACTCTGACTAGTCTGAGTGGTAGGTATTTTCATGTCAAGACTAAAATGACTTTTTATAATATATTTTTCAGATTTCAGTTTCATAACCTGTACAACCTCCTAAATTAATATCAAGTTTTTTTAATAAAACTTTATATTTTAACTGATTTTTCTTCACCCTAACATTATACAGTCTTAGCCCACTTGGATGACTTTGTAATCACAAAAAAAGCAACCTAAAATCTAAATTAACCATTTTTTTTCTAGAATGACTACAGATCATAAAAAATGACAATTGTTCATTCTAAACAGCATTAGATTCATAGCATTTTACATCTATTTTCATTTAACTTTATTGTTTTAGCATTCTTGTAACTGTGTCTAGCTACTGCAAATAATAATAAATCACCCAGCAGGAGTGTGAAGAGTTTAGAGAAAAAATTTCAGGTTATATCATGCAAAGTCTAATTATATATATTCTTCATGTGTTACTTGAGAAAAAAATATTTTTCTTATTAAGTTTTTTATTCAACCTAATAAGTTTTCAATTTTTACATTTTATTTATTTTTGTTAAATATATATACACAGTGTGGTCACAAGTAAATAGACACCACCTTTTCAGAAAAAATGAAATTTTTCAGTCATATTCACATGAATTGATATATTTATAATTTAATTAATATCTAGTAGATCTTCCTTTCCCTTCGTGGAGTTAATTGATCCTTTCAGGCATCGTGAAAATCATCTTGTCAATTTTAGATTGTGGGATTTTCGCCCACTCTTGCTTCAAAACTTGGAGTAGATTGCTCTTCAAAGTTGGTTTTTTGGTTGTTTCTTGACTTGCCGGTCGAGTATGGCCCAAAGTTTTTCGATGGGGTTCATGTAAGGAGATT